AAAATTGTGAAACGATATTTAAATTTTTACGATTAAGGCTGAAAAGAGTAAAACACAAATTTTTTTTTATTATCGTATTAAGATTTCTGATCCCATTAAAAAGGGGAGCTTCTAATTTTTAAAGGAAAGTTTGATATTTTTGTCAAAAATTTTTTCTATTTCTAGTGAAATAAAAAAATTCCTATGTAATTGAAACCGTGAGAAATTAAGATATATATTATAAGAATTATATGAAAATGTGAAATTACGTAATCCTATAAATAAGAGCAACTTGATGACAATTTTTTTTAAAAAAATTAGCACTATTACGCAAATTAAATATTCAAAAATAATGCAAGTGATTTCAAGCATGATGTCACGTTAAATAATATTTTAAAATTCATTTGAAACATAAACTTTTAATTATCACCTTTAATTCAACTTAGAAACATCAATGTTTTAAGAGATACTACCACTTATGAGTAGAGTAACTTTCAGAATTTCCATTTTTCTTACAAAAGCAGCTATTCCAATATGATGTCTCTTTAAAATAAAATTAAATTGTGATTTTCATTTCAATTTCATAGAAATCACAGTTTTTATTGTGTTATTCGTGGTTATTAGTGAGGAAGAAGAGTTTTGAATTCGATAACACTTTGTTTTGTGTATAAAAATAGGTTACTCGTAATTCTGAAAATTTTTCATTATTTTTATTTTGTGCAAATTCAGCAGATACATATTTTCCTGGAACACTTAAAGAAAATTCTAATTTTTAAATTAGATTTTTTATGAGAACATTTATTGGACAGACAGCCACAAATGAAAAGTAATGTTAATTAAATTTTTGAAAAAATTCCGAATTTACATATTATATAAATTTTTTGTGATGAAATACACGAGAAAAAAAATTTTTAAGACACGGGTTTTACGTGATCTTTTAATTCAAGTATAGTGAAGGTTATTATAAATAAAATAAAAAAAGTCCCCCCTTATTTTTAATGTGTTATATTTTCTATTCTCCACTTATTTTTCATTTCTATGTGCTCTATAATTTTTCATAAAATGTCTTGTATTTTATTTTATTTCATGTTTTTTTTGTTATTTACTTTTAATTTTTGTTACAATTAACTTACATAAAAGGATAATGAATAAAAAGATTTCACCTATATGATGTAAGATCACTTCAACATATAATCTAGATGGTACAATTTCTAGGTGTTCTAGGTATAGTTGTTTTATGCAATGATTGTAATATTTCAGTAATTTAATAATTTGTTAAAGCTAAAAATATAATTATTTGCACATTGATAAAAAAGAGTACTTTGAGAGCCGCGAAAATTAATTTTTATTTCTACATGGGTTTGGTACGTAATCAACTTGTAACGAATTTGATTTCATCTAAAATACAAATTTTATATTTAATATTTGTGAATCAATCAATTTATTAAACTTAGATACTATTGATATTTTTAAATAAAATAAAAGTCACAGAAAGAAAATATTACCAAATATGGTTATACAAACAGGATTAATAATAAAGGATAAAATTTAAATTATGCAATATTAATAGAAAACAATGTTCTTATTGTAAATTTTATGAAAAAGTCTACAAAGTTACCGAAATAGAATGATATCCAAATTAAGCATATTCGTATAGCATTTTCAATTGCATTTTGTGGATAATTTTCAACATTTCATAGATGATTTTCTAAGACATGCGGCAGCAAATACAGAATACCATATTATCATAATTAATACCAATTTAATAACATTAATTAATAACATTAAATTGGTATTAACATTAATAAGAACTAAAATCAAAGAGTAACATTTTTTCTAAACAGATAATATTTTGAGTTCATATTTTAATAAACAGCTGCAAGTGACCAATTTTTTTTTTTTTAAATTTACTTTTCACTTTTCTCTTGTTATTGATATGTTTTTTGCAAAATAATATATGAAAGGTACTTGCTAATAATTGCTAACTAAAAAAGCAATTCAAATTTTAAAGAAAAAAACGTAAGTTTTATTGAATTGTGGTTGAATTTTTGAAAAGGTCATGGGTCCTTTGCTTATAGCATTACATTCATGCATTGTATTTTTCATCTTCATATTATTGTGACTTACTATTTAACACTTCAAATTTTTCAAGTTGAAATTTCTATAACAATATGAAGATTATTAAATTTTTTCAGAATTAGAGTCAGTACAAAGAATTTTCTAGAATCATTTTTTATATTTTTAATTGCATTTACTGTTTATTTTAAATTAAGAATTTATAATTAAAGAAAAATATTTAATTTTATATTTTACAAATGCAATTTGTTTTAACACTATAAAAATCCTTTTTGTGCTTTAAGAATTTTTTTCTTTTTTTTTTTTGTTCCTGTATGGAACAACAAAGACTTCTCTAGGAATTTTGTAATTTCAAGTGCGCAATGTATACAAAATCCAAATAAAAAACTGTGTTTCTTTCTAAGAACAACGTGAATTGAAATTAAAATTTTGGATCCTTTTGTTCATTTGTGTACCTATGCACTATATAGAAAGAATATTAAATCTTTGGAATCTGCTTAAATTTAAATTATATATAAATTGTTTTCTTTTTGTTTGTCGTTTTTTAAAACAAAAATATAATTTTATTTAATTTTTTTCTTTTTTTGTCACTATAGTAATTAAATTTGCGACAAATTTTAATAAATTTTTGTAAAATTTATAGAGGCAAATTGGAAAGAAAACTATACTTAACAAAAAACCTTTAAAGTTCTAAATGAAAATGCACACTGCAATTATTTCTCTACTCTTGACTGAAATTTAATTGAAAAAGAGTTCAGTTTTCAGTAATTTAGTCACGTTTTTTTTAAAAAAAAATTTAAATTTTTTATTTCAAAAAAAATAAAAAGCGAAAAAGCTTAAGTTTTCTCTTGCATTTCATAATTTTGTTTTTTTTTTTTCACGTTAAAGTTAAACTATAATTTAAAACTTTGAAAAGTTTTAAAATACTTTGTAATTAAATTTTATTGCAAAAATATTAATTCAAACAAGCTAAGTGTAAATTTTATACAAATATCAAGTTTATTAAAATTTAAATAATCAATTGAATAAAAATATTACGATGGATTAAAATGCAATCGTTCAACAAACCATCGGAAAAATTTTGAAACATAAAACAAATTTTTAAAACAATGAGAAAAAATAGAATCGATCGTGTTAACTCTGTGATATCCGTACGAATTTGTTATCCTATATGCGAGTTATGAATATCTCATAGTCGACTATGAGACTGACTATGACTTTAGGTTGCCATATTACCATATTAATTTATGCAAAATTTCAGTACTGGGCACTTTTTGTATGCAAAATTTCAGTATCTTTCAATATTTTCTAAGATAAGGCTACATTACTATTGAAGTTGTATGGTAGCTACCAGAAAAAGCTAAGTAATTTCAACGAATTTTATCAAACTCACTGGCTTTAGTAATATACTCATTTGCGTGAAATTTCAATATTATAACTTTTATAGTTTCTGAGGTCAAGCCAAATAAATTTGGAAGATGAATGGCAGGTACCCGAACCAGCACCACAATCATAAGCAATTTAAATAGGGTTGTGGCATTTACTATAATAAATCCTTTGTGAAAATTTGGTGAACTTAGGTCAATTGATTTTTGAGTTATAGTTAGGACGGACGGACAGACAAAACTAAATTGACTTAGAATTTGACGCTGATCAAAAACCTCTGATATATAGGTTTCTGAATCTATATCTCAGAAATCAAAAAAGAATTTTATATCTCAGACCATTATTTCTTAGTGTTAGAAACAGTAAGGCAAATTTAGTATACCCTTCGAACATTGTACGTTAGTACGATATGTAATAAGTCACTGAAACCTTTTTTTGGTCATAAGAATTTCATAAAAAACCAAAATTTTTGAAGATTTTCTACACTCACTCAAATTAATTAATTTTAAAAATTTAGATTTGTCTACTTCCTAATGTAGTTACTTACACTTGAAAGTATACATATTTTAAATTAGAGCTGAACTCTATCTTTCGTCTTCTCATCAAGGAATGTAATCTTAGGCTTTGATCAATAAATTAACCGACAATTTAGACCGTTACTATGTTAATATTTTTTAAATTTTTGTTCTTATCCTAAAACTATGCAAAAAATATTTATTTAACGTTGTAATTCGCTTTACAAAAGAAATAAGAAATATTTTCGTAATATTATGTAATATCGTATTGTAACGAATATCGTTAAAAAAAGTACGAGTGCTTTCTCTTGTTGAAGGAAAACTTTTTAGTTGTTAAAATGCAAATACTATTTTTGGTGTGCCAACTTGGCCATAAGAAAAAATATTGCAATTGATTTGTACAGCATTTTATGACCGAAGTTTGCTCCCGTGACTACCCTTTCAAATCTGTTTGTAAATTTTGAAAGTTTGAGCATAAATTTTGTTAATAACATTAAACTCCAATAAATAGCTGTGCTTTTAGACTCACTATTGAAGATGTTAGTGTTCTGTATGAAAATTATAAGGTCACTGTTGTTATTCAATTGCAGTCATAAATTTTATTTTAAATCTTAAATTTTCAATTTTCCTTTTTCTTTTTTCTTAATATTACATTAAATGGTAGCAATTGTAAAAGAAAGAAAAATAAAAATGGAAAATAAGAATAAAAGCAGTCATTATTCTTGAGTAAGAGGAATGAAATAAATGGCCTTCAGTTCCTTAAGAAAACATTATTTTCCACGTTTCCTATAATAATTTTCTTCCTGCTCTTTTATTTAAAAAAAACATAATGTCTTATTCTTTCAATATTGCCACGCATTAATCAAAATGCTTACAAAGTTAAAATGATTTCTTCTTTTTGTGTTTTGTTTTTTGTTTTATTATTTTCACTTTTTATATTTAAGTGTACATAGGAAAAAGGACATATATTATATTATCCTTTTATTATTTAATTTTAATTTTTTCTATATTTCTTTTTCTTTTTTCTTATTAAATAATTTATAGCAAGTAATTCAGAATCGAGTAAATGCCCGACAGATGGTTTATATCATTTACTTGGAGCAATTGGTCCACCTAATGTCGTATCAAGACATAAACGTAATCATAATAACAATAATAATCATTACTCGAATGATGTATATAACAAAAATTATGGTCACAATGGTAAGGAGCACCAACAACAACAACATGGCCATCATCATCATTATAACCATCATCAGAATCAACAACATCATCATCAACATCAACATTATTATTATCATAATAATCAGAAGCTGAAAGGACATAAAAGGTAACTAAAAATTGTAAACATACGTATGTATGTATAATATATGTGTAAGTATACGAATTTTCTTTCGAACATAAAATATTTATGTAAAATACAAACACATGCATTATACGAGTATGTACATATATTTTTATATTAGGAGAAATGTCATCTATGAACACAATTATAATTTATATATTGCAAAATGTAGGTAGATTGTACAATATTATTATGTACATACATATATGTATGTGTTGAATGTATGAAAGAATAATATAATTTTGTTGAAGATTTGACACATGAAAACACATACAATTTCAGTTTATAGCACAGATTTTTGAAATTCTCAAAGTCTATTAGAATAAAGCATACAAAAAAAATTTGTGGTTCAAATTTCTTCAGGATGCGTTGAAATTGTAAAATTCATAGTTCTTTTGCTCATATCCGTAGAGCAGCCGTACAGAAAATCGTTTTTTGAGAAAAGAACCAAATTTCAGCAAAGAAACACATTGTTAGAAAATTAGCCTAGCATAAGCACTTTTTTCGAACATGTAATCTCTATTGAAAAACTTCATTTTGGTCTTATCAGAATTAAATACTCGCCTTTCTTAAGTTTAATAAAATCTTTATTTTAAACTTAAGAAAGGCGAGATATAAACTGATTATAAAAGAAATAATGATACTAAAATAAAAAGTAAAAAGATTTCTGATACCATACCAATGATATGCCGCATGACCATTGTTTAGCTGTTTGCGTTCTCAAATAAGCTCGACATCAGTCTAAGTGTTTATTAAGAATTGACTAAGAATTGACTAAGAATTGATTTTTGTATTACGTTGCATCGTGACAAATTCAACATATTTATGTGTAATCTATAGATATATATCCTTGAAAATATGATAAATAGTATTTTATCATCAATCTTCTGACATAGTAATAAAAATTAGCTTTATATAATTTTTTTTCCTTTTTGAAGGATCGCCCTGTCTCCTTCTTAAAGAATCGCAACAAAATTTTAATAACAAAACTTATAAATAAAGGAATTATGTGTAATTTCAGAATACTAAAAATTTAATGTGATTTTAATAACTGTTATACTAGAATGCATATAAAGTATAGTAAAATACAATTTGACTTCCCTACCAAATTCGATTTTCCGACTTATCATTGAAATTTAAAAAGGTTACCAAAACTTAAATCTGATGACACCCCTTCTAAAAGCATAATATTTTATTATATTAGTATTCTGTTGGGACATTGCTTTAAAATAAATATACATACATGTGTACATACATGAAAATTATTTTACTTGCAAATTTATTGTCTATATGTAGCTTTCAATTATTACGTTATGTGTACAAAATTATTTTGTTAATTGAAATTTTATGAACATTAAAGGTACAACCATAACTACATCCAAATTAGTCTAGGTTCTTATTTTTCTGAAACTTTCAATTGTGTACACGAAATTCCTTTCTTTTATAAAAAGAAAACAAATCTTTTCATTTGTATATAGCTACTCGTATATATGAGATTTACAAAATGGACGGAAAAAAGAATTTAAATCAACATGAATTAGAGAAAAAAAAGAAAAAATAAAAAATTCTCATTTTCGTCTTAATTCTATTATTGTCCATTCCGTAATAATAGAATGCACAACAAGGATTTTGATGAAATTGTAATAAAAACTTGTATACTTTCTATATAAGAAATTGAGAAAAAACAAATATACAGACTGTAAACGTTAATTTTATATTAAGGTAATGATGATGGGCGTCTGGGACGAATAATAATGCACAAATGTAATGATCATAAAGAAAATGAGGAAAAAAGAAGAAAATAATAGGTGAAAATTTTCCAAAAAAGGATTAAGTTGAAAGACCTTTCTTTTGAAGAAATTCTAATTAAATTTAATTCTATTAAAATTTTTATTAAATTTTCGGCAAAAATTTTCAAATTTACAAATTAATTAATATTAAATAAATTAATTTAAAATTTTTAATTTTGTTTTTTATTGTGGAATTATAACAAGGTTAATTTTAAAGAACTAGACCGTGAACTTTTTTAATATTGTTAAATTTTTGGCAAATACGTTGTTGATACAGTTAAAATAGGTATTAGATAATGCTTGTATATATGATTATGAAGATTAGGTAACGATATTTGACATTTTCAAAATGTTTCAATTATTTAAATGTTGAGTCATAATAAAAATAACCAATATTTTGTGCAAAAATGTAAGAATCTTATACTGAATCATATTATATCAACACACTCCATCGGAACATTGCTACAATTGAACCTGATAGGGGAAGTTTCTAGAGGTTGAACATTTTGTTCCACTTATAGACGTTTCTCGCTTAACAAGTTTTCCATTTATCCAGGTTTTTCAAAATTTTATAACTTACATTTTAATTATAAATTTTTTAATGTACGATTTTTGTATCATTTTCTGTGCTTTAATTATTAAGATAAATTATTTATAACAAAATTATTCTTTAGTCAGCTAATTTTGTTTGAAATTTGCTGAAAAAAATAAAACTCACACGAATACTCACGAACATTTTCTAAAAGAAATTTTTAACCAAACAGTATAATAAACTAAAATAAAAACAAAAATTTACCTTATTGAGGTAATCACAAAAAGTATTCCTCCTCTGGATGTAGAAATGTACTGAATTAGTACATGAAAAAACTAAAGGGACTGGATAACTAATTTCATTTAAAGAGGTTTTCCTATTACCCAGATACGTCAAATTCAGGTTCTACTGTACATGCTTTGTCACATAATTTAAAGACCCTTAAAGACAAGGATTTTAAGCGTTGTAATTATCAAGTGTCATTAATTTTTGGTGACAATAGTCAGTCGAAAAACAGTTGACATTTTGAAGAGCCGTTATTTTGATAAAAAATCCAAATTTTAATGTTTTTATTGAAATGTAGCAAATAAGAATAAAATTGAAACGAAATTTTATACAAACTTTTTAATTGAAAGAAAAAAAATTGAATTTAAAAAATTTGAAATTTTTGAAAAGAAAAACTAAAAATTTTCATTTTGGAAAAACTAAAAAAAAAATCTAGTAATCAAAAATTTTTTTTCGAAAATTGATAGGTTTTTTATTTTGCCAGTTTTTGTAAGAAATGGTACCTATATGGTTTGAAATTTTTAAATGCATTTTTCTCAGATTGGGTGCAATTTAAAAATTTGACAAAAATATTTTCGGAATCTAGACACTATTTGGCATCTGAGATTATTAAAATTATCCACCTGGAGCGAATTTTTAAAGACATGCCATATAAATTTTGGCGTTTATTTTATTAGAAAAAAAAAATTTTTAATAGGAAAATTTAATTTTTTTGAACAAAATGGAGTTTGTAAATGATATGGTATTAACATTATGAAGCTAATAAATAATTAATAAATAATTTAATGGGATTATTAAATTTCAAAGATATTTCTACAAAAACGAAATTGTTATACGATTAATGCAACTGAAGAGGTGTTCTAGTGAAGCAATTGATTTAAAATATGCAATTGAATAGAAATACTTAGATTTGAAAGAAGAAAAACATAAATTTTTTCCGAACTAGCTAAATTTCACAGAAGAATTTCGTGTTTGTTTTGAGAAATTTGTAAAATTTTTGGATTAAGGAACAGTAAATTGAATTTAATTTTAGTTTTAATTTAATTTGGTTTGAATTTAATTTGATTGAATTTTTTAATTGAATTTAATTTGGTTTGATTTTAATTAAATTTTTTATTTCAAAAAATTTGTGGTTTTTGTGTCTGTATCTTCTGTACCATAAAATTTTTTTAAATGTTTGAGGTCTTAAATTAAAGTTTAAGCAGTTGGGAAAAATTCTATAAAAAAGAATTTCAAGGTTTCGAAAAATTTCTTACGAAATTTTATTCTTACGAAACTAAAACATTTTAATAAAAACAACGAAATTTGATTTTCCTCAAAGTGTGAATGCTTGGTATTCCGAAGGTACTTCAAATGCAGAATCAAGCAGCCAGTCTATTTTAAGTCCTTTATACTAGGCCTTTGAGAAACTGTTTGTTTGAAGTTCCTATCTTCTTCAGCACCGAAGTTATAATCAAAAAAATTTAGATAAGTAAAAATTTCGTGAAAATTCGTTAAAATATCTGAAACTCGGAAACCTTTGAGATTTGGCACCCAGTCTGGAACAAAAGTTTTACCCATTTTCGATCTTCTAACCAATGCTATATGTTGTTGTATAACTTTCTGAATCAGCCTGTAGATGTAGTTACCTAAATGGTATTATTACGCATTTAGACTTTCGAAAATATTTTTTATTGCATAGCAATAATCCATAAGACGAATTTTGAAACTTTTTTCAAAACATTCAGAATTAATTTTATAAATTTTTCTCTTACTAATATTATGTGCATGTATGTATGTATGTAAGTAATTTTGAAATTCTATACGAGTACTTTAGGAATTTTATTTAACAATAAAATTTTAGAATGAATTATTATCAATGGTTTTTACTAGCGGCTTCACGATACCTTCTTATTAGTATTAACAACAATATTGTCCAACTCTGATTTAACGAAACTTTATCCAAATTTCATAATAATCACCATAGTCCTATCACATTTTTTCAATACATAGATAGTTCGTAATTAATTTATTGTTGAAAAAATCCTGTGCATAAAGTTTCTTTATTAAAATATTGGTGTGCTACAAGTACATGTGTGCTTCTAAATTCTAAATATTTCCCAAAATAACTTACAAATTATTGTTAGAATGCATGTTTTTTTGCTCTCATTTCACTGTTTTTAATTCAATGGTGCATGTACTAGACAACATACTATGTTTAACGTTAATATTTACATTCTTCAACAATAATATTATGTGTTATCACAATGTTTAATGCATTGTAACCTAACAACATCCTTAATGTTAATATTATAATATCAATTTGTTCTGTCATTCACTTATACTATGATAAAGCTGCAAAACAATAATTTATAATTGAACATCGTTTAATATTGTTATGTAATTAGACTAATAATTAGACACTAGCAATATAGTTATCCGCATATTATATAATTTGGGGCATATATGTAGTATACTTCAAAATGTGAATAAAGATATTCAATGGTGCCAAAAATTATTTTCAAAATATTTTATAATGTGCCGAAAATAAACCATAAATCTGATTCTTTCAACAAAACTGAATATAAAATGCAGTATTCTATATGAATTTAGCACAGCGCATACAGCTATTTTACTGGTAGAGGGAAGGGAATAGGAAATTAATTTTAATCTATAATCTCGTATGATTGAATATGCGTACAGTTAATCGAAAGATTTCAGTGATCTAAAAAGATGACTCTAGCGACATCAACATAATATTTTTTATTCTGGAATGCTTTCTGAATCTATTTAACTGTGTGTCAAATTCTTAACTATTTTTCCTTTGTCATTTCTCTCAAAAATCTATTAGCAAACACAAAATTTAAATAAACCTGAAAAAATCCTATAAGTACAACAAAAATTCTTAATAAAAAAAATACCTTAGCAACATATCATAAAATGCTATATAAACACATTGTATTTTTATTTTCTAGGCATGATATAAATAATGAACAAGTTAATGATTCTGCTAATATTATTACGGACAACATAAGTGAAATTGGAAATCACTTGAAAGAAGAATCAACAATCACAGAATCCAAGCATACCTTTAATACTGCAATACGTAATCGTCGTTATATAATTCGAAATAATTCAACACATATTTCAAATAACAACTTACCACTCCACAATTCTACCCCTAATATTGATGACATCGGTGGCAGTAATAATAACAGTAACATTAAGGATAATATTGACAATGTTAAATCAAGTTTACCTAATAACAATTTTAATGATGACAAAACTCTGTACAATGAAAAAACTACAACAAACAATAATGAATTACAACGATTAAAAGAAAATTCTTATAGTTCTAATTATGATACCAACATTAACGATTCACCTACTTCAATACATGGTTTCATTAAAATTAGAAATCAAATGACATTGAATTCGGTATCGTTACCAAATGGAAATTTTATAAAAAGTAACAGTAATACTTCTCATGGATTTAATAACGATATTGTATTTTTTACTGAATTGAGTACATCAAATAACCTAATGAAAACGGAAGATTCTATTGATATGCAAAAAGGGGAACAATACGAAAATCACGATATTCGTAGTCAATATCATCACCAACATTCTCCTTCGCAACATCATCATCATAATCATCATCATCATCATCATAAGCAACATAATAATCACCATCATAATCGTGAATTGAAACATCAAAAAAATTATAATCAATATAAACAAAATCATCATCATCATCATCATCATCCACACATTGAGAAAAGTAGTGATGTTGAAGAGCATTTGTACACTCATTATGGAGATTCAAATTATCAACAGTCAGTGAATGAAAGAAAATCAATTGAAATTTATAATGAAAAACAAGAGAAAAAACAAAAACCACAACGTAATCGTCGTGATGCACCTGGCTGCACTGTCAATTATAAAACCCAAAGGCAACTTCGAATTGGTTGTACTGATTTAAATCAAATTGATGTTAGACCACAATGTAACGATGAAAGTGAAGGTATTTAAGAAATTTCTTTTTACTCATTTATTTTTATTATTCAACTTGGGTTATATATGTAATAATGTGCTCTTAGACATTTACTATGTGCACCTAATTTGAATTTTTTATTTTGTTGGTTTTTTTTTTTAAATATAGGTACTCGTACATATTTTTCTTACATAGGATTCTTTATAAAAATTTAATATTGAAAGAAAATTAAGAGAGGAAACTACTTTTTTTTTGCTTCACAGCCAAAGTTGCTTGCATGACTAAACGTGAACTACGTTTTTAGAATTTATTCCCAAGCTCACGAACATATACAATTTAAACAGTATTAAATAAGAGAACGAGAAACTTAATCTTATTGAAGATCGCTTTTACGATACCTTCTTTTACGATCAGAAAAAAATTAAGATTTTTACTAACGAACAGATGTTGAATTCAAAGTGTGTTTGGAATTCTTAAAGGTCTTTAAGTTTCTTATCATAAAGAAATTTAATTTTTAAGTAGATTTTAAACTTGAGATTAAACCTGAATATTTCTCCATTATAATCTGAGTTTCCGATTTTAGTATTCTGAATTGGAATGAAAAATGCTGCAAAGGTTTTATATTGCATAAACTATGGTGGAACCTATTTAATTAATTCAAAGAAAAAAATACTGAAATTGAAATTAGAAAATATTTATGACAGATTTCTATTAAAATAAATTTGAAATAGTTCCGAAATTAATCAAATTAATTATTCTGTTTTCAGTATAAGATTGATGGCATTACTAAATACCTGGTTGCAAAGCACATTAATTTATAAAAAATGTAAGGTATTCTGGAAGTTTAAATACAAAATTTGTAAAAAAACATCTCCTTACTAGATTTTAAAATTGCCAAGTAGAATGACAAATTTTTCATAAACTACAACGAAAAGCACAACAATAAGTCCATAAATAATAGAATGATACACTCAATTTTTTACTGAAAAACAAATGGTAGTTTTGTTAAAAAACCTATTAATACTTGAATTTTCTTTACCAAAGAATTTATGTTGCATTTGGATGTGCAAAAAATTTTAAGAAAAATTTTATTTATTAATAATTTTGATTGCGGGAAACTATTTTCTATTAATTAAATTTTCAAAACGTCCTACGAATTATTCCACAACAATAACGTTGTGCAATTCAGAAATTACTCATATAGTCAAATCATTTTTTTTTCTTCTTCATAACACCAATTTTATTTTGAATCTATTTGTAAAAGGATAACAAGAGATTACCATTAACTTGATTGAAAGATTATAATTTTAATTTAATTAAAAAAGTTTATAGTAAAACAAAAAGAACATCGGAATTGGCTTAAATTGACCAAACCAAAATCATTATGGGGAAAATGAGAAATAAACGAAATGCACTCAATATTTTTTTGCACAGTGTGTTTGTTGTTTTTATAATTTAAGCCCTTGAGCTTCGATTTAATTGGAAAAAATTTTGCAATAGTCACTTATGAGACGTCTTACGCGTTTTGGATATCTTTGAGTAAATTCACTACAGTCACTATTTATTCCGTTATCATTATCAGATACACTTATGTCCTCTTTGTCGGATTTTTCATTATTACTCCAATCACTGCTATCATTAATTATAAGGAATATATTTTTTATTTTATATATATTTTTATTTTCATGACGAGTACAGCTTGTCACTGGGCAGATAGACATTAAAAATTTATGACGATTTCAACTCGTCATTGTAGCGCAAGGGATTAATAGAGAGTTTTTTTTAAACAAAATTTTTATTTCGAATTTGAAATGACAAATTGTATGGTATAGGGAATTCAATTTAAAGCAAAATGATATTAATTATTTGATTCAATTCTAAAAAGGAAAAAAAAATTTTAATGTGAATAATTCCGAAAATAAACTAGTTATTAATTAGTTTATTTTCGGAAGAATAAAATTAAGAAATAAATATTTAACAAATTAATTTCTGTTAGTCTTTCTTGCTTGTACGTTATCATTATACATTAGAGTAAAACTGATTAAGTTATTCCAGATTATTCCGTAAATTATTGGCAAAAATTACTGAAATTTCAAATTTTTATGTTTCACCCGGTACTCGCACTTTTTTTTTAAATATAATTCAAAAAATAGTTTAGAAATTTGATGTTTTTTTTTTTTTTGCTTTCAATTATGCAAAATTTGATTTATTGGGTCTCGAAGATTTTAATTACATATTTTCAGATTTCATTTCGTAATTATGATAAAATAATTTGAAAAATTTTGATTATCTCGTTAATGGGCGCTTTCGAGTAGTTTCCAATTTTCAATTATTCTACATAATTTGTTTTTTTTTCCAAAAAATATTATTTATAGTGAAATTATAATGAAGATGATTTGTAAAAGTTGAAATGATAAATTTTAGAGAGAAAAAGTTTTTTTTTTCAATTATTAATTTAATGTTGAATTGTGATTTGTCAAATTTAGATATAAAATGACAACTAAAAATAATAGGAAACGAAATTAAAATTTCTAATTTTTTTTGCACTAAATTTTGATGAGACCATTGATTTTTAAATTAAAAGATTTAAGGCGTAGTGTGTTTAAACGCAATGCTGTTGAAAAGTAATTTTCCTTATATTTTGAAAAATGACACGTAAAAGCCAATATTTAATTATTCAAGCGCTTAAAGGTAAATGGATTTAATGGATGGATGTCTGGCGCTTATAGATGGATAAATGAGCGAAAACACAATTATTCAAGACGAGGAATTATTTGAGATGTTTGCGAAAGTTTTAAATGAAAATTATGAGCAATTACTAAATTACATTACATTCTACCAAAGACATTAAAAATACTTTATTCAATAAGTAATTATCTTAGATTCTTCTGAAGCATGGGTCTCAAACTAAAATTTTAAATTTGTTGTATTTAATTACGGAGCAATTTAAAGATAATCAAAAGATTATGAAAATGTGAAAAAAGTCTATATTTTATTTATATGTTAATACAAGATTTTTGTTAAAGATTTGTATCACATTGGTATAACAATTGTCTTGATCGCATTTAATTAGGTCAGTGAAATTCAATAAAGTTCTTAGAATTTGCTGTCGCAAACTACATGTAAAATTTTAATGCGCTTTTGAGTTATTGTTAGATAAACTACAACAATTAAATTAAGATAAATAAATTTTTAAGAACTATCCAAAAGATATATAGCACCTAGATATGTCACCTTAACGAGGTGATGATTGTCGATTTCTCTTACTTCTCTTTTTAAATTTAAACAAAAATTTTTTTTTATTATAACAACAAATTAAAATAAAATAAGTATGTATGTACTTAGATGCTTTAATATACTTATGAATACTAAATATAATTTTTTCTTTTAATATTTTTAGTTTATATTTGCTATGGATCATGGACAGAAAATATGAACATATATATCATAGCGAGGAATCTTGCTACACAACATCTTGTATGTTTAACTTACATTCCATTTATAGGAAATGAAGCGAAACTAGTTATAGGTGATGAATGCTATCATCATTCTCATGAAAAACAATCTGATCATTTGATAGCAACAAATATTACGAAATTTGGTAAGAATCAATAAATTTCGGTTAAATTCACACTAATTATTCTTCTTTTACATACTTTATTCATCTGTAGTGCTTTTATTTTATAAATAAGAATAATTGTTTTAAAAAATTAGGTACTGTAATTTCTAGACATGTAATAAAATTTTAGAAAAATGTTTTTGTCGTCACAGTTAAATTAAAATTTATTTTATTGACTGTTTCATCTATTTCTGGATTAAAAAATTCAAAAATTCAAAATAACTCAAAATCATTTATTATATTTTGACAAATTGTTCCGAATTACCAAGAATTTCGAAATTGTAATGATATATATAAAATTTTATAAACTTTTTATTCAAAATTTCTAGTTGAAAAAGAACACAAATTGTTTGATATAATTTTTGTGTCACGTATCGTTTTCCGCGTTTAATCATTTAAAAAGCCAGTGAAATCAAAAAAATGATTATGGTTTTAATCAAATTATAATTATTGTGTACAGCAAATAACAGTCTGCTAATTAGAGTAGGTATTATTACAATATTATTCCAAGTATCTTTTTTATTAATACTCTTATTTTGATACGCAAAGCGAATGGTTAGGTGAGTCAAATGGACTAGGCGAATCGAATAATGAGGTTAACACCACACATATGTATATAATTTTTGTTTTTTTTTTGCAAAATTTTCCTAAAAAATTAATTTTCCTATCCCTTTAACAATGTCGGGCTTGGTCTTCATTAATTTAATTAATGCTCGAATTGTTTTTGATTCGTTTTTTTCACGCTTAAATTAATATTAGAGAATCAATATTTTTTACAATAATTTGTAGAGTTTTATGAACTTACTTTCCAGATAGTTTAGGTTCTTCCATTTTATCACTGTATCATATCAAATAAAAAAAAACACTTATGTATTATATTGATTTTTGTTTTCATTCGCCAAGCTCATCACACAAACAGATTGAATATTCACCTAAAATTTAGAAAGATTCGCTATAATCATAATACCACAAATTTATATTCGCCAAAAATTTTATTCGCTTCGCCGATCATGGTAAGGGATTAAATGAATAAAAGCTGAAAATTTTTTAAAACAATTTATATAATAGCTATAAAAAATTAATAAAAATAAAATATAATTTATATATCTTTTTTAAAATATTGCATACTTTTAGGTCAATGTGGTGATTCAAGTACTGCTGACAAATTTAAAATTCAACCAATTATGAATTACTTTTTACCAATAATATTAATTATATCAATACATTTATTACATAACATTAGATGATTTTTACTGATATAATACATTATTTAAAATCCAACCAAAGTTAAAAACCCCCATCTAAGAAAAATAACCCTATAATTAATTTTATTTTGTTTAAATTTCTCTTATAAATTTAATTATAAAAAATTTAAATAAACAAAACTTACAATAACAATTTAGTTAAAAAAATTATGTTTATATATATATAAATATAATGTATATGTGGATTATTATGTAATATTATGTAAATTATTAGCGTATAAATAATAAAAATTAAATTATTATACCCGTACACAAAAAAATTTAAAGCTTTTAAAAGTAATTTTGAAAAGAAGGAAACAAAACCTACCGCTGTAAAATATGCAATCATTGTAAAAAAAAACAAATAAGCAAATTAAAATAAAAAAGGGAAAAACAGTTAATTAATTAAACATTAAAAAAAAAGAATTATTAATTATTTGTAAATATTTTATTAATTATAACTAAAGAAAAATTATAAAATTATCATGTAATAAATGGAAAACGAATTGTGAAAAATTTTAGTTTTTAAGTTCATAACACCCATACAAAAATTATAAATTTAATATTGATGAAAATATAAGATGAAATCTATAAAAAAATTAGAAACAAAAAACAAAACAAAAGATTATAAGAAAATATTTTTTTAAATACAAAAAAGAAAAACAAAATGTTTTAATTGAAAAAATTGTAAATAGAATTTAAATTAATTGTGTAAAAGATGAAACGAGATTAGGTATAAAAAAATAATTATAAATCAAATAAGAATGAAGGCGATAATAATTTAAAAAACATTGACAAAAAAAAAAAAATTAAAAAAAAACACAAGTTATAAATAATTTCTATTCAGTTTTAAGGGCGGGGAAAAATGTTAACGTAAGGCGTTAAACAAAAAATCATAATGCATTTTTGGTTTTTGTCATTTTGTATATGCAAAAATAACATTTTATATACACTTTCGGTTATACCAATAAATGGACTCTAAGTCAAATATTTTTTTTGTTTTGTATAAAAAGAAAAAAATTAAAAATGAAAGTTTTAATAAAACTAAAAAAATTTTTTTTTCGATTTTGTATGTTATTTTTAATATATTTAAATTAATTTAAAAAACATAATTTAAATTTTTTAAATATTTTTTTAATACTTATATAAATTATACTTATTATTATGTAAGTTTAGACTATAAATAATATTTAATATATGTATGCATATATCAAAAAATATGGATGTATATATATGGATATATATATATATATATGTATATTTTCTTTTGATTAATTTTTAAACATTTAAAATAAAAAGTTTGGAAGAAAAAAACTCATAACTAATGTTATTTTGTTTTTTTAAATTTCATAAATTGAAATGCTCAGCTAGCTACTGAAAATGTTGAAATTTGTAACTTTCTTTCTAACTTAACTTTTGCAAATTTGTTAGACTGATGTGTCCACCTTACTCGTATCACTTCGTATTTTCTCTCAAATATCTACAGTTATTGTAAAATAAAAATTTCTTTGAGTCTCGTTTATTCAACATCTCTCTGGTGGTTGTTGAAAGAAATACGATACAAGTACAAAATGTAATATAAACTCAATGGAAATTTATTCATACAACTGCAGATGGATGGCGTAATCGAAGGAACGAGTTATAGACAGAAAAATTAAAAAACTTTTCTCTTCGAATTGGACCCGAACCAGTGACCTGTTCCATCTGTTCAGCAATTGTACGAAGAAATTTCCATTGAGTTAATATTATTAGTGTAATAAGCACAATACTTATTAATTAAACAACTACACGTTATATTAGTAATTCAGTACAAAGTGTAAATTTTTTAGGAAGAAGAAAGAACTATCACTTAGTTGCATACAAATTGCTTGTTAATGCTTAAAACAAGTTAGTATTTTTAGATTTAAGTACTTAACATAACCGTCGTAAAATTTTGTTTTCACTATGTTTTCTTGCACATATAATATAATTTTTAAATAATTTTTAATAAGAAACGCTTTTACTTCTTATTAAAATCCAAAATTTTTTCGCCATTTCAATTAGCTGAGCATACTAATAGATAAACCACTTGAGTACACCTAAAGATACAAAGTATCGATTTATATCAAACATTTATTCATAAAAAACTTGCTGACAACATGAAGTAAAACCCGATTGCTGGAATAAAACTGTTTCTTATTAAAAGTTACTTAAAAAATATAATATAATTCGATTAAATTTATTTTATGATAAAATGAATGCAAGTAAAAACACAAATAACACTTACGACGTGTTCTGTTTTAATTAACTAATTATGTTATAAATTGTATTAAATTTGTCTTTTGTTGATCACTTTACTTTATAAAAGTAAGAACTGTACTCTTAGCTGTTCTCTTTTATTAACTTGTTTCAGGGTCCCCTTAAACTAACTATAACGACCCATAAATTAAAATAAATTAAAAAATCATTTATAGTAAAAGGAACACAAAACTATGTTCTAATATGTTGTTTACAAGTAATTATTATAGTTCAAAATTAGAAAATAAAAGTTGTAGTTAGTAATAAGCAAATGTTGATACTATAATGTATACTATTTTCAAAGGAGCATGTACTAATAGAAATGTTCATAGAAACTAACTCAACAAAAAATGGCTGTAAATTACACTAAATATCGTTTTAAGAGCTAATTCTGAATAATGAAAAGTGAAAGAACTTGATATAAATTTAGGATTATAATTTCTATTAATATTCATTAACAAATTAATTTAAAAGTAAATTTACAATTAGTAACAACTTTTTCAACATATTTATATACTAAATTGTTAATTTTCATATATTAAATTGGTTGTTACAACATCTTGCTGCACTGAAATGATTCACACAATTATAAACTACATATATGCATAATCCCGAAGAAAAGCAATATCATATCTTCTATATATAAGCAAATTCTAATTTGACAAACATAAATTTTGAAAAAATTACTTTACAATGGAAAAAGAGGTTTTTAAATTAAAACTTTAATGCGATTCACTTTCACTGCCAGTATTTCGCATACAAATACTAATACGGATAAAATGTAACCGAGAATTAAAGCAAATATTGGTCCCGATACATGTGAAATATTTAATGGTTCTTGTTCTGGTTTTGGTACAAACTTATGTTCTAATTGGACCATGTAATGTAAAACATCCGGATCAATATATTTTCGTGTGTACTAAAATAAAATAAGTTTTTATATTTACTTTTAAAAAGAATTGTCAAAATCGAATAAAAGAGATTTACCGATGTCTCCCAATGTATGTATATGCCAGATTCAAAAACCCAAAGAACTAAAAAATTCAAACGTTCTTTTAAAGGCCAACCTCTTATTGCAATAAATCGAGTAAATTCGTAGAAGACGTAATCTTGCACTAGCTAAAAATAATGCACGTCAGTAAAATATATTCAAAAACAATATAATTACAAAATTTTTTACTATCAAATTAACTTTATCATCAACTACAATATAATCATTAAAAGTGTAGCCACCGCTGTGTAATTTTTCAACTGCGAATCCCCAAACACCTGTGTATGTTAATTTTTTTAGTTCATCAACGCTATGAACTTCAAAATTTTTTGCCAAAATTTTTTCTTTTGGTATTTCCGATTCTTCAATTGTATCCTCCCAAGCAACAGCTGGAGCACCCCATTTCCAATTCATTTTTGCAAATTTTTCTGTTGTATCAATTGGATTTTCAAATAAGGGAATTGTTAGTAACGATTTCAATTGACCACTGTAAATATTTTCCATCGTAAGTGCCGTAAATAATGTAGCACCAATCAGGAGCCGAGCACCAAAACTGTTTGAACTAATTGTTCAGTTCATTGTTATAATAGATTAAATTAATATTACTATAAATATTAATGTAATAACAATTCCATACTTAACTTTAGAATAACTTTGTTGTACAAACATTGCAAAAATATCCAAAAATGATAATAGTAAAACTTCAACTTTATATGAAGATTGTTTGGGATTTTTCAAACGCATTGCTGAATATCTAAGATTGTTTAAAGTAATTGAGCAAATTCCAATTGTTATAATCAGAATAATCCAGGAAATGAAAGATAATGGTAATATTGGTGTTAAGTATTGTGGAAGTCGTCTAAAATTTTCGTGAATGAAGAGAAATAAAAAAATAATTACTTTTTACAAAGCAATTTAAAACATCTGGTAATTAAATAAATTGAAAATCAAGTGATTTAAATAGAATGACGTAAAGTTCACACGTTTTCATTTCCGAATCTTAAATAAAATACAAATCACTTACTTGGGTGCAGGTCCCATAATATGAACTGCTGCTTAAATTTTTAATTAATAATAATGTTAAATTATAAAATTATAAAATAATTCCAATTGTTATTAGTAATTTGAAAACCTGATTTTGCTATTCCATTTGCAACTTCAAACTCGTAATTATACCAATTATAAATGCTTCCAATTCCAAATTCAACTTCTTTTTTCCAAACACCTCCAACAATACCGGATGACGTTCCGTTTTCATATAATTCACCCCAAGCGTCTTGCCCATCTAAATTTATGCTTGTTTTTATTTTTATATTAAACGACATAAATTTTTCTAAAAAGTAGAAAATGCATTATAACTTACAATTTTTGACTTTTAAAGTACAATTCCATATCAAACAAAGTTCTATACATATATTTGCTTCACTTCCAAAAAAATTAAGATCTTTCTTAAATAAAACTGTATTTAAAGAGTCAGTATTTCCCTTTCCTGGCTCCTAAAAAAATTTAATCATAAATAGATGTATGAATTACACTGATTGCCATTATTTTTGTTGAAGTCCTACAGAATGTGAAAAAATAGAATAAGGTTTATAATTGTGCGATCCCAATTTTACTGGTCTTCCCATCATATTTTTCATTTTATCCTCGTAGAAATTGGTTATATTATTTTCAAATATTATTTTATCTGCCAGAAATTTTTCTAATAGCAAAGGTTTTCTATAATTGTGTGGCCCAACAAATTTTTGAGTCCATAATACAAAAGTATTATTTTTGTAACAGACCATAATATGCCACGGAAACACTTCCGAAATTGAATTAAAAATTTATGAAATAAGTTTGATAACACAAAGTAAAAAAGAAACTTACAATCTAAATCTTCAGATTCAAAGAAATCTTCTACATTTGCTTCATCTTGAAGATACAAATGATATTTGTCTTTGATTCTTTGAATTGATTTTTGTGCTGCATATGTGCGGGCTGCCAGAAACCTACTTGGTTCTGGTAGAATGCTAATAAATCCCTTTAAAATTTTTTTTATTTAAAATCACTTTTTAGTAATATAAAAAAAAAAAACAATACATCAGCCGCAAGTTCCACATACGCCAGCAATTTTTCATTTAATATGGATTGATTCATTCCCTTTGCGTCTATAACTTGTGTTACAATTCCAGTTTCCCGTTGAAATTCACTGATTCCTTCCAGATAATCGCTTTGTAATTCATTGGGATTTTGTGAATCATACAAAATAATTGTACTCTTTAGGTTTAGAAAGTAAATTTGAACTAGAATAATTATAAGAATAAAAATTAAAAGCTGTATTAAAATTTCAATTGTTAAATAATGTACTTAAATATTTTACAAGCCACTTAGCAGCAATTGCGTTGAAATGTGATCTCAACAGCATTTTATTAGATATTTCAAATGTTTTTTAAAAACTTTAACCATTTTATTTATATGTTTTCAATTTAATTTGAATTTCTACAAAACGATTTCAATTATTGACTAATAAATTTTAAATTGCAAATATTTATTTTGTAAATATTCTTAAAATTACATTGAATTATTTTTCTTCACGCAATTTTTGTAAATTTTCACTGAAAATCAATTCCTTGCTCTGCGGTCTAATTTTTTCCTATTTTTTTGCGTTTATTTATTTAGCAATTGAAGTTTCTTAGCACTAATATGCTCGAAATAAAAAATGTCTTTGAAAAAGACCAAGAAACTGTCTTCGCTGACCAAAGAAATATTTCTGTTTCTTTTTCATTTTTTCATTGAACTTCCTTTTGTAAACTTACAATTGCGGTATTGTGCTCACACCAAATTTCACGAATGTCAAATTTTTAATAGAAAAATATTTGCTCTGTCTTAGAAAAACATAAATTATTTTTAATTGAAATGCCAGACTCTCTTAAATTTTGAGCGAACAAATTTCAGATGATTTTACATTTTTCATCGTTTTTTTTTAATTTTTGTGTATACATGTGTAAGTCTTGTTATATTAAATATTCAATTTCAAATATTTGAAAATAGATACCTAAGACACTATAATTAACAATTTTTTATTAATTAAATAATTTTTCAAATATATTGAGTTCTGTTTGACAATAATTGAAACAAAAGAATTAAAACATAGAATTTCAGAAAGCGAACCAAAACTAAGAATTAAGTTCATAATTTAGGAAGTAATTTTAAGATTACCAGTTTTTCGATAAACTAATAAGAATTTTCTAAAACTACGAGTAATAAAATAAATTTATTGGAATTTCTAAATGTCAATAAAGAAATAGGTACACAATAGGTCTACTTTTAAGACGATTATGTGCTGCTGCTATCAAATTTTTCATATTATTAGTTCTACGTTCTAACTTTAGCTAAATGTTACGTATTTCACAACACTTATATATATATACAGTATGCTACATAAAGAAGTCTTTCACAAAATTTTCAAATACCTACTCGTACATTATGCTTGTTGAAATGATAATATTATGCATTCATTGCTTTCGGTTAATTATTTTTACCGACCGTATTGTGTAAACAATAGGTAGGTTATGTGATGGCAACAAATTTTGCATATCGAGTTTTCGGTGGGAACGTACTTCTCCATAGTACGGAAGTGTAAATAAACTATTTTTAGCAACCTGTCGGTCTGTCGGTCTGTCGGTTTGTCCGTCTGTCGGTCTGTCGGTCTGTGTGTGCACGCGTGTATCTCAAGTTCGGCTGAACCGATTGTGATGAAATTTTATATGTAAGTTTGTTTCCACCATGGCACGGATCGATCAACTTTTGGTATATATCAGGCCTCGGTAACTGCACTTTTTAGCGGGCCTGTTTTACATTTTTGAACATTTTGAAGAAAATATTCAACCGATTTACTTGAAATTTTATATATAAGCTCAGCTCGACCGTCCGCAAAAATTCGTACGTTTACTACGGGCCAAATATACATTTTTGTGTATATAAAGAGAAATAATCAACCGATTTCATTGAAATTTAATATATGAATTCCTCCTATTAAAACAATGAACATATAAATTTTTTGCAAAGATCAGGACTCGAAAACGGATTTGCGGGCCGATTTTACATTTTTCACCATTTTGAAGAAAGTATTCAACCGATTTACTTGAAATTTCATATATAAGCTTTGCTCGATCATACGCAAAAATTCCTAACTTTTGGAAGAAATCAGGCATCAGCAACTGGGCGTTTACTACGGGCGAAATATACATTTTTGTGTATATAAAGAGAAATAATCAACCGATTTCATTGAAATTTAATATATGAATTCCTCGTATTAAAACAATGAACATATAAATTTTTTGGAAAGATCAGGGCTCTAGAACTGATCTGCGTGTCGATTTTACATTTTACACCATATCTACGGAACGAATTGATGGAATTTCTTGAAATTTGATATTTGAGTTCTGGTTGTAACCGAAACTAACTGGCGAGCATTTCAGGGAATCCGGGTAGCACAAAGCGAAACTCTACTAAGAGCCAAATTTACATTTTTCTAAGTATGTTAACTATAAGCTTACTAATGTCCTAAAAATTGGAAAGAAGTATTTAACAGACATTTTTATAATATTCTGTAACACTTTCATTTAACTAGACAATACACAATGCGGTCGGTTATGTGCTGACCACATCAGATTTTTTTGTTTGATTTCATATTTTTGTAAAATGAATTTAAATTGAAGAGCAAATATTTATTTTAAAATCAATAAAAATATTATAAACCAACTATATTGTTAAACTGTTGAATTTCAAATCATAATATCATATCAAATCATAATATGTATGAATGGGTAGTGGCTTTTTCATTCTTATTGTCCTACTGTCGATATTTGCGTGATTGTATAATTTTTAATTTCAAATATTGAGGTTTTTAAGAAAATAATTTAATGAATAATTAAAGAACATGCGTTATTTTTAGATTATTAATTTAAATTATTTGGCTTATAAACAAAAACTCATTCCGAAAATTAAGATAGTGGCTATAACATTTTCTGATGTAATTATATTTAATCTGTTTACACGTACATATATTAATATTACATAATTTCTTTAAATATAGATTTAATAGCCTTGACGCCATAAATTATACACAATAAAAACCCTAGATTCGAAGACAATTATTGCAAAATAACAGAGTTATATTAAATTCTTTCCAACACAATTTGATTTCTTTCAGTATTTAATTAATTTTTATATTAGCTTAGTTTAGGTAGACGGGACTCTTCCAAGGCGACCTCGCCAATTCGACAATGGCACAATGTCCCGTTATCCTTCCGTTCGAGAGATATCAGAACACTTTTTGACGAAATTCTTGCTTTTACTACAACTCCCTTGTCACGTTATCTGTTTTTCCATTTACCAAAATTTCTGTTATAAAGATTTGCTTTGCGGTAGTTACATTTCAAAATTGATTTAGTATTTGTTAAACTTAGGGGGTTTTCGTTTATGCACGCTGCGCTAAAAGTTCTACATTAAAACTAAAATTTCTAAGTCGCAGCGTTAAACAGTATGCAATAACTTTAGCTAAGTTTTTTTTGGTTTCCGCAGTCTACAAATTCTAGAACTTCTAAATAATCAATCGTTCGAAAATAACAGAAATGACATTCTTTATAAAATTGTATCCCAATCTGCCATTTTGAAATTTAAAATTTATTTTGAATTTTAAATTTAAAAAGAAAGAGAAATTTCATTAAATTTAAAAAGAAGCAGAAATTTCATGTCTGCACTACATTTCTAGCATTTTTTTGTTGCAGATTGAAGTTCCGAACAACGGACGGAATATAGACGAACGGTCTATATTTTCAGTGTATGTAGCGTGAATTTTCGAACGTACTACAAGCTAGAACAATTCTAGAACTAGATAAACGAAAACCGCCTTAAGAGATTACAAACTATAATATTGTTCGATTTCGTTTTAACTTTTAGTGTTAACTTTTGTAAATGCAGTATTTAAATTGAAAATTAGAACCGCATAATATAATTAAAACAAATTCAATTTTATATTGTTATTATTATTTTTGTTTATTAAGATTTAAAAAAAATTAACCACTTTTTTTTCTTGTAAAATTGGGCTATTTTGATCATTTAGTTTTTATTTTTTTTCATGATTTCATTTAATAAAGGAAATTTGTGAGTTTGTTAGTAAAATATAAATCTCAATAGTTTGATTTTCTATATATTTAAATATTTAATTTAAAGTAAAATAATAATTAACTAAATTCCTTTATTCGATCTCTTAATTTATATTTATATTTTTAATATAGTAGTTTTAAATTTGACACAGTAAATTTGATACTTTTAGTTAAATTTTTTATTTTTTTTTTCAGTTTAAAATAGTTTTAAATTTTTTACACAACTTTAATAATATTTTTTAACTATTTACAATTAATTTTTTTATATATGTATATTTTTGAAATTATATTAGGCACTTCCAGTAAAAGAAAAAGTAAAACATTTTAATCATATTTAATAAGGATTTGCTAAAGTGATTCTAAATTTGAAAGTAAAATGCTATACTCGAAAAGATGTTGTACAAAAGCTGAGTCAATTTTGAAAATATGCCCCTAATCAGTACTTCAAATTATCAGCACCCTGCTCCAAAATTGAATAATCACACCGAATAACCCTTTAAAACTGGTAAAAAAAACTTTCTTTTAATTTTGATTGACTGGGTTTTCATTTATTTAGATTATTTGTTGAAACGAAGTAAGCAAGATAAAAGATTTTTCCAAAATATTTAAAAATTTCGCATTAAACATTTATTTTGCATTAAAATCAATTTTCATAAATCGTTGGTAAATTTTACTTTTTTATAAGACTTTCGGAAAATATTTCTTGCTATTTCTGGAATTTAACCACCTAAAGATGCTTGACATTACGCAACACAGAGCCTTGTAATAAATCTTATAATTTTGTTTCAATTAGCTATTATTCTATGAATATTGGCTAGTATTAGGAAAAATATTGTATTCTTGTGTTCTACTAATTTTTACATACAGAGAGAACGTTTTGAGTTGATACTTTCCCACAAAATCTGTGGAAATAATTTGTATTTGAAGATTAAACTTTATCTTTCTAACTAACAATAACAAAAATTTATGAATTATATTATGACTAAGTCAACAAATTCATAATTAAAAATTTTAGAGTCAGAATTACAATTTGGAAAATAATCAACAAAATCGAGTTTGAAAAATTTGAATAACAGATTGAATTTCTAAACTCAATTCGAATAATTTTTGGAGTTCTAATGAAATTAAATCTTTGACTAGCTTATTCTGATGTATTACGGCAAGAATATTAAGGACTAATTTTTATAGAAAAATTATTAAATGGAAAAACTTGTTAAATTAGTTTTACTTTATGAATATTTTATATAACAGAAAAAGTTACAACACGAGTTTAATGCCAAAATCTAAAAATCGCGCAAATCCAAATTAGTGTTTTAAAATTACGTAAGCAACAAGAACGAATTCGTTACATTTCGAACCCTATATACCATTATGTTATTCAGACTAAATATGTATGTACATTACAGTTTTATGTCGAAATTTATATGCGATTACTATATAAATTTATTAAATTAATGTTTTTCAAATTTGAATTTCTAACTAAATGTAGCTAGCATTTTGCTTTTAAATATTTGTTAGTTTTAATATACATACTACCGCCCTGGTTAGTTAGTATATGATTATATTGCAAGTACATATTAATTTACACTAGCTAGGGCAGTGTACATTGATTTTAAATTTTATTTTTACATTATAAATAGTTTTTCTTCAATTTCAAATACACATCAAAATTTCATTTAATTTGTATATTTCTAATAAAATATTAAATAGCTTTATTTATTTATTATTTCTTTTGTTTTTATGATTAATAATAATTTTATGTCTTTTGTAATTTTCAATCCTTCAGTGGTATCATTTTCAACTTCATAATTTTGAAATATCTTTTAATTTATTTCGAATTAAATATACTTAAATATTAGGAATATTATAAAAAGTTGAAAACATTTTATTTACAAAATTTTTTATAGTTATCAGATTTCAGTTGAATTTTTTATTTAATTTGGTATACATTAAAAATATTTAAAATTTTTACAGGGTGTTTTTTATTTTTACCTTAAATCTATTGTAATGGATGAGCAATTTTAATATTGTGTAATGTCTGTTGAAAGAATTTATATCGAATAATATTGTAAATTACTTGTGATAGTACGCAATATTTAAAAATGATATTAATAAAATTTTGGTCATTATGATTAAGTTGTGCCAACGATATTACTGCCATACATATACACACCTCCGAATACCTTCCGCATAGTAAATAAGAAATAAATCAGATTTGATCATCACACAACCAGCTAGAATGTGCGTTTTCGGAATGTCTTTTTAAATGAATTTTTGGTTTCCTAAAAACCAAATCAAGCCTCTGAAATATTTTCTTTCTTTAAAATAGCTAAAAACATAAAATAATTTCATATAGTAAAAGTTCTATTGCTGAAATCTAACAAGTCGAAATTTGATTAATCTCTTACGTCATTAAAATATTAAACTCAATTATAAATTTTCATTATAGCAAGTATATCCAATTTGTATCGCGCATTTCCGTCAACAATTCAAAATTTAAAATTTAATGCCGTCATATAACTTCCCTAATTGTATGTAAAATGAGACGAGTGAAAAACTTAAATTAAATTCACCCTAAAAATTACTAAGATTTATAATTTAGAGTCATTTATACTTTGATTGGCACCTAATGCAACATTTAAAGATAAATCCTAATAACCAAAAATTTTTTTGCAAAATAGTGTTTCTTCCGAAAGGAAAGTTGTTTTTTTTTAATGTTTCTGAATTTCTGCATTTCAGTTTCAGTTTTTCATTAGACTTTACATTTTCTGACCGTTTCTTTCATTTGCGTCTAATTTTAGAAAATTAAAACTTAAATATGAAGGATCCTGCTCTTATTACTTAAATCTTTTAGACAAGTATAATAAATATAATTAGGTACAATTTTTAACTACTTGAATGCTTTTGATAGTGAAACCTGTTTAAATGTTGAAAATGAGAACATTTGTAGATTACTAGAATGGTTGTAAAAAAAATAAAAAAGTAATTTAAAAATTGTTTTATTTATAAAAAAATTATTATAGCCTGGTCGATTCTCTTGACTAAAAAGTGATATTGAAAGACTGGAATTGATTTGAAAAAAAAAAAAATTTTTTTAAATAATTTCGCTTTTAAATTATTTATTTATATGAGAAGTTTTTAATAGAAAACCTTACATGAATAAATTAAAAATAAAGTTTATTTTTCAATTATTAAAAAGACTAAGAACTTAAAAATTGAATTATGAATAGCCGATTTTTGTTCCCAACATATTATCTGATTTGTCAAGTTGCTATATCTATGATATTGACCTAAAAACAACTTAAAACATTTTTAATTCAATTAAATAAGAATTAAACATTAGGAGCAAAATTAAAAATTGTTCAAAAGTTTAATAAACAATATCGATTATCATAATACAACCTGCATTTTATAATTGGTAAACTTTGATTTTTTCTTGAGGTTTACATCACCTCTAAAATCCTATAGAGTCTATAGTATTGTGTGTATAGTTACAAATTTTTTAATAATCTATAGTTTATAATGTTTGAATAAAATCCTTTTAAAAATTTAGAACAAGCAGCGTATTTTTACATAAAACACAAATAGAAAAAATAAAGTAATGGATGCATTTCCATTGATGAAAACCGTTTACATCATGACTTTTTAGTAGCTATGCCTTTTTCAGTTTTAAATCAATTGAATTACAATTTTTGTTTCTCTTAATTAAAAATATAAATGAATTTATGGAATCTACCTACAAAACATGAGGCTTAAAACAGTGTCTTTATCCTTTTCCTTATATATTTAATATAAAATGTCATTTTAATACAATACTTTATTTAATCTAATATTTTAATTACTTAAATTATATAATTTTTGTGTAAAGAGTAGTTTCTTTTTGTATTTTAAATATGTTTTTTATATATATACATACATATATTAAATTTCAGTAAAATTTAATTAGGCCTTCCTTTAAAGTTTTTTTTTTAATTTTTATTTAAAATAATTTTTCTCTAAATTTCCTTATATTTAAACTAATTTTCCTTTTTTGTTAAATTTCAACAATATTAATTTATTTTGTTTCTGTTTTTTGTGTACTAAGTTTACTTTTAATATTTTTAAATTATACAAAACAAGAATTAAGAAATTACAAAACTAAAAAATGTTCTTTTATAATTTAAAAATAAAAGTGCTTAGAGTTGGTTGTTTTTTTGTTTGTTTTAAGATCTTAAATTAATAATTTTAATAATTTAATTATTTCGACATAATCTACCGCGAACCCATTTAAATGCTTTACCACTAATCGCTTCATATTTTGGCGTTGCTTCTGGTAAACTACTACTTCGACATTCTCTTCCAGTTGGATTATTACCAGTTTTTACTGTAGTTGTTGCTGTTGTTATTGTGGTTTCTTTTATTTCTGAAACATTTTTTTCGCTACTACTGTTACGACGGCATGTGCATTCATCTTTTTTTATTTTATCAACATTTGGTATTGGTCAAAGTCCATCTTGACAAGATGTATTTGCCCATCGAATATCATCTGCTTCATGTGTTAAATAACGTATTCCAACTTGTGATTCTAGTGCTCTTAAATCAAAATATGTTTGTTTGTCTTGTAACCAATAATGTTGTAAACTTTTATCTACAGTATAACGTTTTCGTTGTTTTACTTGTAATAAATTGTTAATTAAATCAATTGCTAAAAATAAACAGAAAATAAAAAATTTTAGTTAAATTCAAAACATAAAATATAAAATATCTTAGACTCTTATATTAATATAGTAGATTTCACATTTTTGTATAATTTTTACCGACCGTATTGTGTAAACAATAGGTAGGTTATGTGATGGCAACAAATTTTGCATATCGAGTTTTCGGTGGGAACGTACTTCTCCATAGTACGGAAGTGTAAATAAACTATTTTTAGCAACCTGTCGGTCTGTCGGTCTGTCGGTCTGTCGGTCTGTCGGTCTGTCCGTCTGTCGGTCTGTCGGTCTGTCGGTCTGTGTGTGTACGCGTGTATCTCAAGTTCGGCTGAACCGATTTTGATGAAATTTTATATGTAAGTTTGTTTCCACCATGGCACGGATCGATCAACTTTTGGTATATATCAGGCCTCGGGAGCTGCACTTTTTAGCGGGCCTGTTTTACATTTTTGAACATTTTGAAAAAAATATTCAACCGACTTATTTGAAATTTTATATATAAGCTCAGCTCGACCGTCCGCAAAAATTCGTATGTTTTGGAAGAAATCAGGCATCGGCAACTAGACGTTTACTACGGGCCAAATATACTTTTTTGTGTATATAAAGAGAAATAATCAACCGATTTCATTGAAATTTAATATATGAACTCCTCGTATTAAAACAATGAACATATAAATTTTTTGGAAAGATCAGGGCTCGAAAACGGATTTGCGGGCCGATTTTACATTTTTCACCATTTTGAAGAAAGTATTCAACCGATTTACTTGAAATTTCATATATAAGCTTTGCTCAATCATACACAAAAATTCCTAACTTTTGGAAGAAATCAGGCATCAGCAACTGGGCGTTTACTACGGGCCAAATATACACTTTTATGTATATAAAGAGAAATAATCAACCGATTTCATTGAAATTTAATATATGAATTCCTCATATTAAAGCAATGAACATATAACTTTTTTGGAAAGATCAGGGCTCGAGAACTGATTTACGGGCCGATTTTACATTTTTCACCATATCCACAGAACAAATTGATGGAATTTCTTGAAATTTGATATTTGAGTTCTGGTTGTTACCGAAACTAACTGGCGAGCATTTCAGGGAATTCGGGTAGCACAAAGCGAAACTCTACTAAGAGCCAAATTTACATTTTTCTAAGTATGTTAACTATAAGCTTACTAATGTCTTAAAAATTGGAAAGAAGTATTTAACAGACATTTTTATAATATTCTGTAACACTTTCATTTAACTAGACAATACACAATGCGGTCGGTTATGTGCTGACCACATCAGATTTTTCCAATATGTCATGGATAAATTGACTTATTTTGCAACATTTTATTAAATATAGCTTAAATCTGGTTAAAATAAAATTGAATAAGTAAATATACATAGCGTCTATTTACTTCTAATAAGTAAATATACCTAGCGTAACGGGTACAATCATTGACGCCCTTAAGCATAATCCGTCATAAAACTTGTATATGCAGAATTATAACAATTTGAGCATGAGTAAAATATAAATTGAACATTCTTCTTTCACAATCATATACTTAAATTTGTCAAACATGTTATATAAAAATATTAAAAACTAAGCTTATTAGTAGGAATGCCAAAATGTAAAATTATTCACATCTTGGTATAACTATTGACATGGTTTCATAGTACAATTATTGAGATAACATTAAAAGAAAATAATAGAAAATAATGAAATTGAAATAAGAATAATAGTTTTCTTGCAATAATTACAAAAAAATACTTAAATTGCCTTTTATAGGAATTAAAGTTTATCATTAAGTTCATGAAGTATGAACTGAAATTAGATAGAATAGCTAAATTACTAATTACAGCTTACTTTACTTTTATTTAAATTTTTTCAATAATATTATGAAAATTGAAAATATTGCATACTTTTTGGAGTAAAATAATTAGAAGAAAGCATTTCATAGTAGTTTATGAATTTAATGGTTAAGTGCGTAAGGTAAATAAATATATTTAGTGATGGTATAAGACTAATAGTTAGTCTTTTGCTTGTATATAAGTTTAGAAAAGCTTATAATTTTGGAACAAAAATAGGTAAAACATTGAAGTTTTACTGATTGATTGAACTTGGAAATAAAGATGGAAAATTATTTATTAATTATTTAATGATTTCAGACCCTTTCAAGTTATCATTTAAGTAAGAGAAAATTGATTGCAACGTCTGGCTATGCCATTTGATTATAATAGAAACAGATGCACAGATAAACAGAACGAACGAAACAAAGAACTTTTATCCAAACTTTCAAAAGTAAACTTAAATTTGCAAAATGTGGACTTTGGCTAAGACGAAAATTACATTTAAAGAACAATACAAAAAAAAGTAATTTTAAATTTGTGAATTGAAAACTGTACGACTTCGAATATACATAAATCTATTGTGAAGTCAAAATTCCTCAATATGTAATTTAAAATGAATGCGCCTACTTTAATATTAGGAATATTTTGTATACAAACAAGTGAACGAACAAACATACATAGTAAATAAAGAGAGACTTTAGAAGTAAAACTTAATTACTAAGTTTTGAATATTAGAAAATGTTCCCTTTTTTTTTAGTATTTTTTAACTTTTTTTAAAATTCAATGCAGCCTGTTTAAAATTTTTAAATGTACGTTTGTACGATGGTTTCCAAAAATCATTTATATGTACGAGCTATTAATGAATTAATAAAATTCTTAGTATTTTTACCATTAGATGAAATTTCCTTCCAAGGATTTGGCGGATACATAAATGCAGCATTCTGAATTTGATCATTAATATCTTCTTCTTCGTTAAATGGGAAAGTACCACTTAGACTAACATAAATAATGACTCCAACACTCCACATATCCAGAGAGCGATTGTAACCTTTATTTCGTAAAACTTCGGGAGCTAAAACAAAAAATAAAAAGAATATTCAATATTTTATTTGAATAAAATAATATAATGCTTCCTATATTTCAGCAATACCTAAATATGCAGGAGTCCCAACAACAGACCTTCGGAATGATTTTTCACCAATAATTCTAGCATATCCAAAATCACATAATTTTACTTGAGGAAACTCAGAATCCGATGATAGTAAAACATTTTCAGGTTTTAAGTCACAATGAACAATATTTTTGCTATGCAAATGTTTTAGTGCTATTAAAATTTGTGTAATCAAAAATTTTGTTACACGTTCACTCAGTCTACCTCGTTCACTAGACAAAATCATTTCCAACATATCACCTTTTAATTTTTCCATTACAACAAATATCCGTTCAGGTGTTTCGAACATACGTTCCAAGTTTACAACCCCACAATGAGAAATATTCTAAAAGAAATTCAAATATAAATATATAAGCTTTTTATTCAAAATATAATTTGAATTGATTAACTTACCTGCAATATAGCCACCTCATTCTTAAGTTGTGCTTCTTGTTTTGTTGGAAATCGTAATTTATCTATGACTTTAATTGCAACTTCTCTATTTGATTTTTTATGTATTCCACCATATACAACTCCGAATTGTCCAGAACCGAGAACTTCGTCAGGGAAAATTTGGTAGAGTTGACCCATATCTTGAACATTTTCTTCTGATTCACAACATTCTAAAAAATAATTAATTATTGATTTTTATATTTTGATTTTTATTTAAGAAATATGTGCTATGAAGTTATCGATGCATTTAGTACACATTCAGTAACCTCGTATAAAAAATTTATCTACCAACATGGATTTTGAAATATTATAACTTACGAGTATTTGTTACATGCATATAAGCTTGTCTAATTGTTGTTTCCCAACTTTTCGCTATATCTGTTCCAATTCCACTGTCTGGAGGAGGAAGTCGCACAGGTTCATCTTTATTACAACCCACCAACGGATCCTGACCCACAAAATAATCAACATTAGCTGTACGAATTTCAAAACAATAATTTTTTTCCGATGTCAAATCTTTATTTGCGCTAATGGATATTATGTCACTTAATGGAATCTCCTTATGATATTTGCTGCCTTGCTCTGACATAAAAAGTGTGATAGCTTTTGAATCTAAACGCCAGAAATAACGTTTCACTGTTTTGTCCAAATTAGTGTAATGTACTAACCACCCTTCTTTTAATGCTTGACCACCCCGTTTTTTTGTATGTTTCACTGATTGTACGATTCTCATTAATGGTATATTAGCACTTGGTGATGATGATGAGCTTGATTGTTCTGAGTTTGTATCACCTATAACAGCTGAAGTTGGCGTGTTACCTCCGATTGGCGATGATTTGTCATTTAATAAAGAATCGGGTATATTTCCAACACCGAATAAATTCGTTTGACCATGACTACCTCCACCGTTCATATGTTGATTATGACGATATCTTGATTTCTGTTGTTGGTTTTTTTGATAATTTGTAAAACCTAAGGAGCCAGGATTGTCATCAAAATCACTATCATCGAATTCATCTTTAAAGAATGCATCACGTTCACTTTGATTCGTATTGCTATCGTTAATCATGTCCATCAAATTAATTTGACTTTCACCAGAACAATCTTGTGGTACTTTATCAATACATTTTTTATGTGCATTATATTGACAATCTTTACATTGAACACCTTGTTTGAATAGACCTCGTAATAATTTTTTACAATATTGGCATACAGTTGGAATTCCGTAAGTATGAACCATGAATGTATGTGGTATACGATATCGGCCAGGTGATGGTCCATAATTATTAGTTATGCTACTTCCACTTCGATGACTACCAATTGATGATGAACGAGAATTTCGATTATTTGGAACTTGCTAAAATAAAAAATATCGAAAATATTTCATTATTAATTTTTTTATTACTTTCAATTTTTCAATAATTAAAAAAAATTTTTTAATTATGAAGTTTTAATTGTCATAATATTCATCTAGTTAATTAATAATGGTAACATCTGAAAAAAAGATTATAAAAGAGCAGAGAGGTGACGACTACTTTAAAACATTTCTTTTAATTGTATATTATTTATATAAGCAATGCCGACGAGACGAAGTATTTATATTTTCATTTTTATTTTATTGTTAAACTATTATAGGTTCTATGGTTTTGCTAGTATTAATAATTGGTGTATAATGAGTAATAACACTGACTGAAGCATTATTTTCCAGAGTCATCATTACGTCCAATGTTTTGAAATTATCGATAAGTGAAAAAGTATTAGACTAGTAAATTTTCATTTCCTTTGTAATTCCAATTTAATAAAACTTGCGAGAATTCAGGAATCCAAAACCCATTTAAAGAATTAAGTATAATGGACTAAAAAATATTGAAACCGTGAACGAAATTATTCGTACATAGTTTATAAGTAAATGAATAGAAAATGGAACTAAACGGAATTTTTAGCTTAGGTACTCTAGACAAACAAATACAAAATTCTTTCAAAAAAAAATCTTTCATTTGAACATTAAATTCAAAGTAATGGAAAAGTGGAAAAAAAACTCTTTTCAATTCAGAAAGATAGAAGCATTAAAATTCTTTCTATTTCAAGATAACGGCTGCTTTAAACGTTTGCATTGCAAATAATAAGATATTTTCAGCTTTAATACAGTTTTTCAAGCTAAAGAACAAAAATTAACGAATTTTTATTAGCGTTTTGACGGTCCTCTTTTCTTTAATTAAAAAATTTGCGGATGGCATCAGAACTAAGGAAACAATTGTCTGGCCAGTTTTTTTTTTAACATAAGAAGAAATTAACTAAATATTCAAAGCTAAGACTATTATAGGAGGGGTGAATATAAATTTAGAACGTAAAATGTATTATTTAGGTTCAGTTTGGATCTTTTATGCAATAATCATCAAATCTAAGTAGGGAAAATTTATCACTTAGAATTTCGTAACTTGAAAAAACCAACTATGTATATAAGTTTTAGTAACGTAGAAAGTGAAAGTAGATAGAGATGCCGAAAAGGGACTTTGTTTTGATAAATCATTCATCTCTTCTTATTCCACTGCAATTAGACTGACTGTAACGTCAGACGAAAAAGTATATTAAGTTGTAAAACCCGGAAACTAAAAATTGTTAGCATTCCTTTTACATTTTATTGTCATAAGATTACAAAAATATTCAAACTGCAGAGTATTCTTACATTTTTTCAGTTATCATGATATAATTTTATTTTTTCCTCTACCATTTCAAAAGAAAAAAGAAGTATTCATTCATGTTTTCAATATGAAAAGTAGAAAATTTATGAAGAAAAAAGGACAAAAAAAAATTTCCATTAAAAATTTTCCTCAACGATTTTACTTACCTTGAGAATTAAATTAATATTGAATTTACATAAATAGGTAAGCAAGATTTCTAAGAATTTTAATTGAAATAAAAGTTATTTTAAATGAAAATGCTCTTAGATTTTAAATTGATGTTAAAATTAAACTCATAGTTAGAATTTAATATTATTTGCATACAACTATAATTTTAAAAACTTACTATAAAATTCTTGTCATCAGTGAAAATGACGATTCCGTATTAAACAAAAGTTTTACAATAATTTAATACCTTGTATCAAAAAGGGATGCAAATATTATTGGAGTGTCAAATAAATTATTATAAAAAATACCACGATAGTTTCTTGATTGTATCGAGTCGATACTTTCAATTTTTTGTTTTCATTACAATAACGAAATTTTAAAAATTTTAAAAGATCCTTAGCATTTAGTGTGATACAAATTTATGTAGCATTATTAGCAATATAAAAAATTATAACTTGATAAGATGAAGTCTTGAATATCAAATCTAAAAATATCAGATATTCTTGGATTAGGATCAAAAATCTGTATGATTGAACTTTCTTGAATGTTCTATCAATATTTTTTATAAATTATCCACAAAAACATTTTTAACCTAGATCTCACAAAAAGGAACAGACATGTTGATTCTTATAGAGACGCTTTTATTTCGCTTGATTTAAAAAAGCGCAGGTCATAATAAACTCCTAGCCGGATTGTTAAGCTAAAAAGTTAAGGAGAATATAACACAGGAAAATTTAAAAAATAACAAAACTCATACTACTTTTTGCTGTATTAAACTTTTTATAATTTGGTAATTTTTCAGATTTTATTTATCTACGCAAAAAATTTGGTTGGTTAACGTAGCAATAGGCACAAATGTATGTTTTTGCTACCACTACCCCGTGATCGCACCAAGTCGTCATTGAGCGTACGATTACTGGTAGCCTATCTAAGCTACCAGGCTCTGTTGAGGAATCTATTTAGATCTCCGATACTAATCTTCAATATTTCGTCCAGTCCCGTTATATTTGCTCCGTCCCTCGTAGGTTTTACGCGAGTCTGGCCCTGAGTCTGAACGAACACTCGCATAAAATCTACGCAATCAATTATTTTAATTTTTCTTCAATTTGTTTAGCCGTGTATAATTAAAAATAATATTGTAATCTTATTGCTCTCATAAAACCGTAATTACTTCGTAATTTTAAAATCTCATTCTTACAGTGGTTCTTTAAATTACAGTGTTTTAATTTTTCAATTATACTAATCTTGTCTGAGAGTTTTAATATTCTGGGTAACAACACGTATGAAGACGATACGTTTGTAATTTTAGTTACTTGATTTAAAGTAATTGAGATAGAACATCTATAAATTACAGTTTCATGTAACATTCTCTTTATAAAATATAAAGTAGACTTCGTTTTTAAATTTTTGCAGGTTTATGAAGGCACAATACACAAATTTTGAATTTTTACATATCTACAGATAAATTGTTTGTGCCACGTATTTCTTAGATAGTTATAAAAAATAATTTAGCAAAATTTAAATAAAAAGGCGTCTTAAAAATAAAAGCATTTAACTTTAAATACATGTCCTTTATTGTTATACTCACGCTCTGTTTCCAACAATTTTTAAATTTGCATATTCCCAAAAGTAAAATTGTAAAATTGTACAGGAAGTTCTCAGTTGAAGAAAAAAGCATATTAGAATTCATAAATTAAATTGAAATTCTCTAAAAATTTTTCTTTGTTTCTTCTAAAATTACAGAAAAGAATATGACAATGTTTTAATATTAACAAGACTTAGCAGAAATATTTTTTTACAATGCCATTGGTACTTGATAAATTCTGAATATTTTAAATAAGAGAGCCACCATTATTAAATATAATATAATTCGAATATTTTCAAAGGGATCACTTTCACTTTAATTGTCTTGGTTTTAAAAAGAAATTTTTGTCTTGCAGACCTGCAAACCTTGTCTTTGGAAAAAAAGAGACAATTTCTGAAATTTTGGTGGTCAGTTTATCGGGAGTTAACCGATGAGATGAAATAAACGCAAAATCCACCGTGTATATAACTATATACATATAAATGTTCATATACATAAATATTATGTACATATAAAGCAGACGAGTCCTTCACGTGATTCCAACTTTATACGAAAATTAATAAACCCTTCACGAAAGTTAAGCATTTTAGATTTTGTTAAAAAAATCCTTGTTTTAAAAGTCTTACTTTAAACTTTTACGTACCTTCCCTTTCGATCAAATATTAGCTGTTCAAAGTAATCAAAATCAAAATAAATATTCAAGACTTTCCTTAATTTCGCGCATTCAAAAAATTTTTGGATTCTGCAATTAATAATGAAATGTTTTTTAGTAGAAGTATTTTGTAAGAGTGCCAAAACATTTAAAACAAGCTTTATTTTATAATTCTTAATTTTTAGGCTCTTCCACGCACAAATAAAAATACCTTCAATTGAAATTAAAATTCCTTAAGTAAAATGTTTGAGGAACTTTATACGAAATATTTTCGTATAAACAAAGGTGCCTATATATTTTCAACTGTTTATGTACCATTCATAAATTCAATGTACTCTATATACAAAATTCACTCCTAATTGAAAGAAAATATTTGATGTGTAGTCATTAATTAATTTTTCCCCCTTTTTACAAAATTAGAAGCTCATTAGTAAAACAAAGCATGTCAAATGACTATTTCTACATGCACAGGTTGTTTTCATACAGGTTATTCCATTAAAATAATTTTTAAATTCCTACATATATAATATTAATTACTCTTATATGATATTAATTCTGCTGAAGGGTATTTTAATTTAGTCAAAGGCAACCGTAGACGAACTAAACATTCGCTTATTGTGCCACCAAGAGCTTATTTATAGGATTTTTAAATAAAACAAACAGCTGACCTAATACCAATTTGTACGTAATATTGCAAAATCAACATCAAATCATTAGCAAGTTTTCAAATGCTACATTCACATGAGAAAATGTATGTACTGCTCAACCCTCTTCTGTTTCCACTTTGACTATAGGCGAGTTTATGAAATCGAGAATTGAAAACTGTAGGATAAGATGCTTTGTTCTACATGAAACCTAATAAATTTTTTAGCTATGCGAATGAAATGGTATGGCCATGCCAACATTTTACATGAAACTTTGTTTTATAGGATTATTCTTCTTGTTTGTGGAGCTTTTTGGCTAAGAAACTGTTCTCAGGCGAATATTGAATAATGAGCAATTGTCTCAAATTTGTTCGGATACAAACTTCATTTTTTGTAAAAAAACAAATACATAGAATTATTTCTATCCTATGTATACACAGGAACAAAAAATATTTTTTTACATTTCTTTAAAGCCTTAAATAACACACTCTGAATATTTTAATACGTGCCTTTTATGATTATCCTTTATAGAGTTTTTGACATTTTTGAGCATAATATTTTATAATGAATTAATAAGTTTTAAAAAGTTAAAGGTATATAATTGTTGTGTTAAATTAATGACATAAGATTAACATATCAAGTATGAAAATTAATTATTATTTTCTTTTCATCTTTATTGTTGATCTGAATAATAAGACATTACAGCACGTTATTATTATTAAAACTTATTGAATTTGGAATTTTATAAGGATATTGAAGAACTTAAAGAATCAGTTAATTGTTTTTGTTCCTTTTTAGATCTTTCCAAAAAAGTTTTTGAAAAAAAAGTGCTTATTAGTTTCACTTTGTCCGTCCGCTCGTCAGTACTTCCGTTTGTCTGTGTGTCTGTTTACAAAACTTCTACACCTTTGAAGATAGAAAGATTAAATTATATATGTATGTGCATAGATCTTTACTACAAAATTATTTCCTTAAGACAAAAATTTTTACCTACCTCCCCTCCTACAAAAGTTATACCCCCCTAAAACCCTAAAAATGGTATGTATTGCAAAGAAATTATAAGCATTTTTCAAATTTTGCAAACGCAGAAATATAGTGAGTGGCTTCTTCTACAACGGGTTATTTAAAACCCGTTTTTGATGCCGTTTATCTTCTAGACTCTAGGTTGTAAAAGTCTGAAATTTTAACAGCTTTAAAACACTAATATATAGTTCATTTCGTTAGAAGAAAATTTTTTTCCACCTCCACCCCCTATCAAGTTATAACCTCATGAAATTTGTAAAATTTAAATATTTGGCACCTTACATTATCGAAACCGCAAGATTTTTCAAATTTCTATAAAGGCAAAAAGCTAACGCTAAATTCCATACCATTGAAAAACATAATTATTTTTCCTAACTCACACAATAAACCCTTAAAATCGAGCATTATGTTAACCCCTCTTTAAATTAATTTTTTCTTTATTTCAAAGAGTGCATAAATCATTCATCCTAAATATATGCAATCTTAGAAATAGTTTCGTATATGAATGAAAATAATCTTAATAGTGTAGTAGGTACATACAGATTGTTTTTAAAAGCAGTATTTGCACTTGTTGAATGGAAAAGTGCTACAATACAAACCATTGGTTTGATCCAACTTTTTTTTCTCTTGTTTTTTAATACATAATTTATTTCCCAAAAATTTTACAGTAGATTTCCTCCAAAAATTAAAATTGTTATCGTTGAAAAAGGTAATTAAAATTAGTAATTAAAAATGCTTTCATTATGCTTATTAATTTGTTAATGATTAGTATATGACATTTTTAATTTAGTATTCTTAGATATAAATGAGAAAGCAAATTCTATTAAAAATCCAACTTAAGATCCATTTAGAATATTCTCGCCGGAGATTAATTTAATTTCTTGAAAGGAATCGGTTGGCTTTAGAAAAGAAGAATACGCTTTAGAAAATTGTATTTTAATCGTATATAAGGCTTTTGAAAGAAATCTTCGTTCCTTTTTTTATAGTGGTTCAGGTAGTTATTTAATATGCTTTTGGACTCATATATTTCTTAAAAAGAAGTTCTACGTTTCAATAACAAATAATATAACAATTTTGTTATGAACTCCAAGTTAAAAATTTTAATCTCATTACACGTTTTATCTTAAAAATTAAAGAAAACAAGGAAATAGGTCCGTTTATTGCAAATTATTTCAACGTCCTGGAAATTAGTGTTCGTATTCAAAAATAACAAAATATTTGCTAACTGCTTGGAGTATTATTTGAAATCGGGATAACATGGATATGATGGGATCTGGTTTAAATTTTTAATTCGCAAATTTAAAATAACAAAAAAAAAATAAAAAAATTAATTAAAAGAAAACTGTTTGTTTTTGATTCCAAAATGTTTTATTATTTTATTCAATATAAAATAATTTACAATAATATCATAAAATAATAATAACAAAATACAAATTTGAAAAAAAAAAATAAAAAATAAGTGTTATATAAGAACATAAAATGAGTGTAAAATTTTTTGACGTATATTATATTTGTATATAATAAAAATTATAATACCAGATCTCATCATACATTAGAGTTTTAGCATTTTTAAAATTAAGTACATGTTTGTGTATATAACAATATAATAAATATACATATGTATGTATATTTACGTAAAATTCTTTAAGAAAAAAATAAAAGGTAACCCAAACCACCATTGACCCTATCAACTATAAATTGATTCGACCACGACTAATGAATGTTTATCAATGTTTTTGCATTATCAAAAATATGAGTTTGCAAAAGTGTGCACAAAATTTTAGAAATAAATTAACAAAAAATATTCGGGACCATAAACCAATCAATTTCGTTATACAAAATAATTTTGAATAGTTACTACAATTACGTCTTCTAATGTATTACACCACTTAGTAAGGCAGTTTTTTCTGAGAATGATTGCTTTACGTTTTTCATGAACTTGAACAGTTTTAATTTGTGCTGTCGCAGTAATGGTTTAGAACTGAGCATTGGCAAAAGTCATGTATTAGATTTTTCTCGTAGTTTTCTATAATTAAATGTACCTATCGTTTGGATGGAAGAATTTTGAGCCGAGTTGGTATTAAACTTTAGCATGACCTTATTTCTTACTCTGACATGGTTATAAATAGGGGATTATGACAAAGGAGTTCCATGGGCAAAAAAGTTTTCTAACCACTACATTGGAAATAATTTTTGTTTATCATATGTTAGGGCCTTATTGATATTTCTAGGATCGTAAACATCGTCAGAGGAGATTTCTTCGACTCTAAAACGATTTATGAATGCTTCTAAGTTGGGAAAACATATTATAAATTTATTGAAAAAATTAGAGCAGCAATTGGTAAAATTAAAATTTTATTTTGATATTTTTTCGTCACGTTTGTATTAACAGTTAAACTTTGTTATTGAAAATAATAATAATAAATCAGATACCTTCAATCTTGATAAAAACCACTTTCATTCCATTACAAACTTAAAATATTTTTCTGAAGAAAGTTTTTTATTTGATGAATAATTTTAGCTTGATGAAAGAAATTGTTAAAATAATAAATTTAAGTCTATTTCTATGATTTTTAATATTCTAATTTTAAATTGAGTGTTACAGAATGATTATTGTATCCACGACGTCCTATACGCGTTTAATTCTTTTTACAACTGCAGGGAAACAAAAAATTGAAAAACAAATTAAATTCCTTTGGGAGTAAATTTCTAATTATCTGAACCCAGAAATTAAATTACAAAAGCAATTTAAAAAAAAAAATATAACAAAAATTTAATTTATTTAAAAAAATTTAAATAAATTAAAATAAAAAATTTATTACGAAGTGCGATAGAATCTGTAAAATAAAGTATAGTTGGCAAGTTTAAGTATATTGTGTACGGAAAAGAAAAACTGAAGCTCTATTAAGAAAATGCGAATGTTTAAGAAGGATCATATCATAATTATCGCAACTATAATTTTCAACTTCAAATTAAATATAAGCAAACTCATTTAATTACTACAAAATTTTAAATTTGCCTTCAATGAATAAAAGACATTACAACATTCATTAGTCATGAAAAAGAAATTTGTGTGAATAAAATTAATAATAAAATTCTTATACTTAATTGGTGTAAATGGATAAAATTTCATTATTGTCTCTTTTAAGTACCGTTATAACTAAATTTTGTTTTTTATTGCTTATTGCTTAATAAAGCACCAATTTTTTTTTGAATTCGTAATTTCGTAAATATCTTAATGTCTAACATCGTTCATTAATTGTTGCATCTTCCTTACCAATGATGAACCATTATTTTGCTGTTGTTGATCATCAACTGATATTAATGATGTTGCTGATCCACCTGATGGACTTCGCGGTGGTTGAAGTGTAGATGAACGTCTCGATTCATTTCTTTGGTTACAATTATTAGGTATTTTAACAACACATCGTTTGTGATAATTTTGGCCGCAACCTGCAATTAAGAAAATTAAAGATAATAAACACTAAAATAAGATTTTAAAATTTTTTAGTTTACATAGAAAATTCAAATATATTCGTATAATATTCCTAAAAGATTTTGTTTGGATAGGTAAATTGATCCAATTAAATGGATTGCTGCAATTTACTATTAATAAAGACGACAGAACTATATGGGTGCAATTTTCACTTTTACGTAGGCAAAATTTGAAATCTACCGAGCAGGACCCAGCCAAACCGGATTTTACATCACATTTTCAGTACAGAATACATAGAAATATATATTTTATAAATTTAATTGCATGATAAAATAATTAAATCTATTATGAATTGTTCGAGATATACATACATACGTTGATTCGGAGAATGAAATTACTTGAAATTATTGATTATATTAATTTTTTTTTATAGCGAAGTACTACAAATTCGTTAATCTACAGAACTACTAGGAGACCTGGATCTACTGGTAATGTTAATGTTCAATGAAGATTTTTCCTATTAAAAAAATCTCCTATTTTAGATAGACCGACCTTATTGTATGCAATGCGGTGAAAGGAAGCAAAAAGGATAATGATCAAAATCATCGAGTTCATATAATTTGATTTATTAAAGTTTGTTCTAGTGGGAAAACGAAAAATACCACAAGATTGTAAAACAAGAGACAACATATATATGTAGTATTATTCGAATCAAAGTATATAAAGTACATCACATACATAATATATTCAACGTGATGTACTTACAAATCTATACACCTCATATTTCGATAATCAAAATTTTTACCAGAGATTACTTATATTTTGTTAGGGTTTTCATAATTTTTCATCTTTTTATAACACAACAGTATTTTGTATATTAGGAAAAAATATTTTGCATTCTACTCACGTATAATGTTTTTACCTAGAATATGTGTACATGTATATTTACATATAGAAATAATAGCACATATTATTTTCATGTTTGCCCAAGGCACACACTATCTTAGATGAAAATATATTAAAAAAATATCATATCATTCTATATAAAATTGTATAATAGCTGTTTCTACAATTTCTATTATAAAAGGGAAACCTTGTACAAATTATAGACTTGAAATCAAACCTAAGGTTATAATATAATCATTCAATATTATACGAGTATTCTTGGACCTTTCTTAGTATGATCCTTGTACTTAATCACTTCATGTGAAAGCATTATAAAATGTAGATCAAATTTACATGTGTGCATGTAATAAATTTTATTTTGATATTAAATTGCTGTATGTGTATAAGATTCCATTTTTTAACCTGAAACTTAAAACTTAATTTAATTTAAAGTTCTGAGAAAAATTTATGGCAAAAGCGTTACCACACTATCCTGTTTTACCTTCAAATGTTGCAAAACATTTAGTTTGGAATAAATTGATTTTTAGTAATTTCTTGATAACTTATCTGTTGAATTGCTAAAATTTTCTCAGATGAACGTATAGCAAATTTTTTTTCTGAGATGTCAAAATAGTTATGTATAATTTTTTCAAATAAAACTTGAGTTTCTGGAACATGGTTTATTTTCCAAGGAGCTCATCCAAAATTTCTAAGGAAAATTCTGTGGTATATTTTGAACTTTCCGAAAATAATTTGGTACGCCTTAGATTGATACAGTAAATTCCCAACCTGCTCAACTAGAAGTTTAATTCGGTAAGTTGATTTATAAATAATTTACCATATCTGTGTCAAAACCAAAATAGAATACATTACTAAATTTTGTAAACACTATTGTATATTTTACAAATTATACCATTTAGCGGTATATAATCGGGAGACGCTATCCAATTTTATTTAAAATCGTTACTTTCGTTTTTAACCGAATTACTCAAAATTTGCAAAGAAATATTTTGTTTGTCTGACATCAGTTTTGCAAGATCTCTTCACCATTTTATGAATTAAAAGTATGACATTTAGAATGAAAACTGTAAACAACAAAAAAATTTTGTATGAAACGAAATATTCTAAGACCATGTTCCCAAATCAAACCTTGCTCACTTACATATTTTGTTTGTTCGATTTCATTGAAATTTGATGTGAATTGATTGTGTAGTTGTAAACTACACAATTCTTATCAAACAAAAACCATGAAAAATGTTTGAAACATTGTTTCCCAAAATGTTAAAATACAATCCAGCGCATCGTTTGAAATTATTTTTTTTTCATTTTACAATAATGAAGCGTTCTTTGTCAATGAACACACGTAAACTCAATGGAATTTAAATGGGAGCATAATTATTTAATTACAGAAAATTAAGTTTGTATGTTATTTATATTTAATATATACATATACTATACGAAAGTTCTCGTCACGTCCATCAAACTGGTGGAAAATAATTAATAATTCGAAGTAATGAATAGTAAAATTTTCCTTTTTTTTTACATAATAAAAATTCCTTAAAAATTCAACATTTAAAATACAAAAGCACAGCATCAAATATAAAATAAAATCCAAAAATTTTTCTTTCTTCATATTTCCCCGTAATTGTTTATTGATTATTTAATCGTGATAAGTGTAAAGGTCACGATATGATCATATTCATATAGATGAAATGAAAAAATGTTGGAATCGAAAACAAAATCAATACACTTTCCACTTGCAAGGCTTTTATGACATGCATGGGTTTCCCTTTTTGAATTTCACGTTCATACTTTGTATAAATCATTTGACCTTTGTGTTATATGAGTTTAAGGGAGGTCCTCAAATATATTAAAAATATTTTTAATCGGAATACTGGAGAGTATAAGGTTAACTACTGAATTCAATTTCTATAAAGTGTTTTTCATTCTTTTTATCAATATTACAATAAAATTATTTACTTCAAACTGAGAAACCGAAGATTAATGTAATTGTAATAAAAGAAAAAAATTTGTTGTTAATACAAGAAATGTTAAAAACATTAAAAATATTTCCATACCCGTTATATCTTATTCACACTATTTATTAAGTGTAACTTTTAAAATCAAATAGCATTTGCATTCAAAACCTTTAAAATTTTTTATGGTTCCTTTAATGTACACACATACATACTGATTTTGTGGGCAACAAAAATTTGGATTTTACAAAAAATTTTTTCAAAAAAAGAGAATTTTGAATTATACAGGGTGATTCTGAAAGTTATACAACAACATATACTATCGAAGATCGAAAATGGGTAAAACTTTGGCTTCAGACTGGGTACCAAATATAAAGGGTTTCCGAGTTCCAGGGATTTTAACGAATTTTCACGAAATTTTTACTTATTCAAGTTTTTTTTGACTATAACTTCGGTGCTGGAAAGATAGGGACTTCAAACAAACTGTTTCAGAAAGACTTAGTAAAGGACTTAAAATAAACGTGTTGCTTGATTCTGTATTTTATGTACCTTCGGAATACCAAGCATTCGAACTTTTAAGAAAATAAAATTTTTTCAGTTTTTTCTAACTATGTAATTTCATGTGAAATTTTTTGAAACCTTGAAATTTTCTTTATGGAATTTTTCCAAGCTGCTTAAGCTTTAATTTAAGTTCGCAAATATTCAAAATTTTTTTATGTTACAGAAGATGTAGTACAAAACCATTTCTATGTAAAGATTTTAACCATTTCTATGTAAAGATCCTTAAAGGCAAGGATTTTAAGCGTTGTAATTATCAAGTGTCATTAATTTTTGGTGACAAGAGTCACTCGAAAAAACAGTTGACATTTTGTAGAGCCGTCATTTTGATAAAGAATCTGAATTTTAATGTTTTTGTTCAAATGTAACAAATAATAATAAAATTAAAACGAAATTTTATACAAACTTTTTAATTGAAAAAAAAAAATTCAATTTAAAAAATTTGAAATTTTTGAAAAGAAAAACTAAAAATTTTCATTTTGGAAAAACTAAAAAAAAAAATCTAGTAATCAAAAATTTTTTTTCGAAACTTCTCTTGGTAAAAAAAATTGGTAGGTTTTTTATTTTGCCAGTTTTTGTAAGAAATGGTACCTATATGGTTTGAAATTTTTAAATGCATTTTTCTCAGATTGGGTGCAATTTAAAAATTTGAAAAAAATATTTTCGGAATCTAGACGCCATTTCGCATCTGAAGTTAATAAAATTATTCAGCTGGAGCGAGTTTTTAAAGACATGCCATATAAATTTTGGCGTTTATTTTATTAGAAAAAAAAAATTTTTTTAATAGGAAAATTTAATTTTTTTGAACAAAATGGAGTTTGTAAATGATATGGTATTAACATTATGAAGCTAATAAATAATTAATAAATAATTTAATGGGATTATTAAATTTCAAACATATTTCTACAAAAACGAAATTGTTATACGATTGATGCAACTAAAGAGGTGTTCTAGTGAAGCAACTGATTTAAAATATGCAGTTGAATAGAAGTAGATTTGAAAGAAGAAAAACATAAATTTTCTCCGAACTATCTGAATTTCATAGGAGAATTTCGTGTTTGTTTTGAGAAATTTGTAAAATTTTTGGATTAAGGAACAGTAAATTGAATTTAATTTTAGTTTTAATTTAATTTGGTTTGAATTTAATTTGATTGATTTTTTTAATTGAATTTAATTTGGTTTGATTTTAATTAAATTTTTTATTTCACAAAATTTGTGGTTTTTGTGTCTGTATCTTCTGTACTATAAAATTTTTTTAAATGTTTGAGGTCTTAAATTAAAGTTTAAACAGCAGGGAAAAATTCTAATTCTAAAAAAAATTTTCAACGTTTTACAAAATTTCTTACGAAATTATCTAGTTAGAAAAAATTGAAAAAATAAAACAAGGGAAAAATTTGATTTTCCCTAAAGATCGAATTTTAAGTATTCCGAAGGTACATAAAATACAGAATAAAGCAACATGTTTATTTTAAGCCTCTTACTAGGTCTTTTAGAAACTGTTTGTTTGAAGCTCCTATCTTTTTCAGAATGGAAGTTATAATCCAAAAATCTTGAATAAGTAAAATTTCGAGAAAATTCATTAAAATCCCTGGAACTCG